CCACCTGTCTTCAATTTAATTTCCTTTAGAAAAGTCTGCTCATGAAATCTGTATTTCAATAGTCTAGGACAGCTTTTCCAAAAAAAAAAAAAAGTGTATTTGGTGAGCTCCTATATGGAATAGATTTCCAAGGCCAAAGGCATTTAGGAAATAAATGCTGCGTGCGATATTACTACCTTGGGGTTTCATGATGTAGCATATTAAAAAGATGAATAAATGTGTGTGACACTGTCTAGCCCTAGATTCTTTTTGACCCTGTATTCTTTTCTATTTGTCTCACAGATAACATCTCAAACTCCTGAAGCTCCACAGGGCCCATTTTGGGTCATGCTGTCTAGGTCCACATGCAACTTAAAAATGGCACATTAGCAGGGGGGCTCCCACAGAGAGGTATTTGATCCCTAAGCCCCCTGAGGTGGAATATTATTAGCCTGGAAGAAGGAATATTTTTGGTACTGTTAGTGGAGTTGACTTCTACTTGCTAATCTTGAGCCTACAGGGGCTGCCTTTCTCTACTCATGCATAGGAGCTGTATTTATAGACTGGTCTTGAAAACCATAGCCACATCCCACAAGAGCTCTGCCAGTTAGCCCAAATTACACTAGGAAGTGGCTCCTTCACTGCTTCCTTAAATTTCTCACAGTAAAAGAGCACAATGAGGCAAGGCCGCTGGGTGCCAGTGGCTCACTCACATCTGTAATCCTAACTATTCAGGATGCTGAGATCTGAGGATTGTGGTTTGAAGCCATCCTGTCCAGGAGACACTTTATTTCCAATTAGCCAGCAAAAAGCCAGAAGTAGAGCTGTGGCGTAAGTGGTAGAGCACTACCCTTGAGGGTAAAAAGCCAAATGGGAATGCAAGGCTCTGAGTTCAAGCTCTACTACTAGCACAAAGGCAAGTGGGGGGGGGTGTGGACAAAGGTGCATCAGAGGTTCCCTTTGAGGTGGCTCTAGGCTCCCATGATGGGTGTAGGGCATTTGAAAGTCCTCTGTCATTCTGATTTTTGCAGTCTGCAGGGAGCTCTTTGGATCTGTTAGCCATCCAGATTCATCTGTACTTTACAGATGAGGAAATCGAGGCTCATCCACTTAGTCTTAGTCATGAAGTTTTTTTTTCTTTTCTTTTTCAAGTTCTGGGGCTTGAACTCAGGGTCTGGGCACTGTCTCTGAGCTGCTTTTTCTCAAGGCTAGCACTCTAGCACTTGAACCACAGCGCCACTTCTGGCATTTTCTGTTTATGTGGTACTGAGGAACTGAACCCATGGCTTCATGCATGCTATGTAAGCACTCTACCACTAACCCACATTCCCAGCCCCTTAGTCATGTAGCTAAGAAAAGGGGAACTGGGATTAATTTGGGGTCTGTGAGGCTCTGTCACACATCTTCTCTGTTCTACTTCACTCCCTCAACAGCCACATGTCAATTCCTTTCTTCTCCCTAATATCTCCAGCAGGGACCTGGTTTCATTGCTGTTTGAACAGTGAGACTAACAAGGAAATGAGCTGTCATCTGTGGGGCCATAAGGCCTGGCAGGTCAGGAAGGTGGCCTCCAGATGACTGTGGAAGGGCTGTACTTATAGGTCTCAGGACAACCACCAAGAAATTGGATGTATCTGTGTCCCTGCTGCTGGTAACTCCACAGATAGACATCCCTCACCTACCCCAGCCTGCCTGTGATCCTCTCTCAGGTATTGTTGCCTTTACTCCCACTCCTTTAAGACTCTCTTTCTCTTCCTGTTCACTCAGGATAGAAGCAACTTTGACTGGCAAGAACCTCCAAGGGCCAGATCCTTGCCCAGTGGCTTTTCAGCCTGAAAAAGGGACAATGGAGGAGGAATCTCCAATGTAAGAATTCCAGCGTTTCAGTTGGGTGGCCCCGGTGGAAGTGATGTAATCTAACCTCCTTCTCTAGTGGGGATGAAGAACTCTGCCTGTCACTCCGAGGCCATGGAGAGGAGAAAGCCAAGGATGGGGAGTAACACAGACCTAGAGGAATATGGGACTTGGCTGCAGAGGCCAGGAATCAACCAGATCTAGTTGTACTGCATGCCAGTTCACTAAGTTCCCTTGAGTATGTAGGGGGCCTCTTAGCTTCAAATTAATAAAAATTAAATAATATTAAAAATAAAGTTCCAATGAAAAAAAATCAGTACCAGTTGGGCACTGGTGGCTCATGCCTATAATCCTAGCTACTCAAGAGGTTGAGATCTGAGGACTGTGGTTCAAAGCCAGCCTGGGCAGGAAAGTCTGTGTCTCTTACTTGCAATTAATCAGCAAAAATCCAGAAATGTGTTATGGCTCAAGTGGTAGAGTGTCAGCCTTCAGCAAAACAGGTAAAAGATTTTGCTAAATTCAAGCCCCAGTATCTGCACATTAAAAAAAATAAGTTCTTTCATTACCTGACTTACATAATTGTAACCCTTCTGTACATTACTTTTATAACAACAAGTAAAAAGAATCAGTTCCTTATACTCCCTTTCCATAGCTAACATACTGGACAGAGAAAATCCTCAGGATTCCAGAAAGTTCTTTAGGATAGCACTGACCAGTTGTCTCTAACTAGTTTCTCCTAACTCCTGCCTTTTTTTTTTAAACTATCCTTCTTCACATAGCCTCAGAGGAAACTATTTAAGTGGATAGTGCTGCTCTATTTCCAAGGGACAGCTCGAGCTCCTGGAAGGAATTCTCCTGTACATTCTGTGTGCATGTCGGGCTTCCTAATGAGATAAAAATGCACCTGAAAGGCAGGACCTTTGTCTTGTATCTTCTGCATCCCTGACAGTCACCTGCACTGTGTGAGGCCTGTGGAAAATCCATCATTACCATTATAAATTTGTCTTGAGTTGGCACAGCACTAGGTCCTGTCAGACTGACTGATGCCCCAGGAACATGGGTCAGACTTGCTGCAAGGCCTCAAGTGTATCATTACTTCACACTAGGCCGCAGGGAAACAAACAGGTTGGCTTAGTGTAGAATTTTATTCTTTCCTAGAATTTCATTTCTTTTGCTCTGTGAGGAAGAGTACAGACATCTTACATCCCACTGTGCCTCTGGGGTCAGCCCTTCCTATCAGCCAGAGCTCATGTCCAAGGCCAAATCTCTGTAGGGAGTTGTGCGGGGTGAAAAGGTCTATGATAGAAGCTGAAGAGAGAAAGGGAGAGAGAGACAGAGAGAGACAGACTGACAGAGATAGAGACAGAGACAGAGAGAGAAGGGGGCTGTGTGTGTGTGTGTGTGTGTGTGTGTGTGTGTGTATTTGCACTGTCTGTACATCAGAGTGACAGTCTGGGAACTCTTTCATTACCATGGAAGGACCAAACAAACTCCATCTACGTATTGGGTATGGGGTCGACAGGACTCATTTGATTTCCTGATTGTTCTCCTTTCCTGCAGGTGTTTTAGATTCTGGTTTCTATGAGAAGGGCCTCTCTTTGGGAATCCAGCCCCGCAGTATCCCCAGGATGTTTAGAGGCCCCATGGTCAGAGGATGTAGTCTGGTCTCGGGGATATTCTGCCCACTAGCTCTGAGAAGCCAGAGTTTAGTGGGAACACATTCAGCTTCACCCTGCTGTATGTGGGACTGGAGAAGGAGAGGCAGTTAACACAGAGAAGTAGACAGGGTCAGTGGAGCGGCTCCTCAGCAAGCAGGATGTGGCTCAGAGTGCCCTGGAGCAGAGGTAAGCACAACAAACACGTGACAGGCTGTTTTATCTCTCCTCTGAAGGATCCCAGCATGACCCATCACGTGAGGTCAATTTCCAAATCCAACCTTTCTTCATCATGGCACTCAGGAGAGAGGTCCTGGCAGGGCACAGAGAGTGCAGTGTGGATGTGTGTGTATGCTGGGGGGATCTTGAGGCAGGCACTCAGTCCTTCTGGGGTGGAAGTCTTGATTGCCTCAGCAGCTGGGTGTGCTTAGATCCCTCCTCCATAGGAGGAAGCATTAGTGGAAAAGCAGGAGGTAAGGCCTGGGCTGCCTGGCCTTCACCCCTTCCTTAGCCCAGAGGGCTCAGGGTCTCTCTACCACCGGATCTTTTCTTCCTTTCTCTCCCTGGGTGAGTTCTCTAAGAATCCTCTATGGACTGCAGCTCTCTGAAAGCCTCCCCTTTGCATGTGGAGCCCAGCATTACTTTTACTTCGACTTCCTTTTGCATCCATACTTCCTCTAGCTCTTGGGCATAGTGTAGTCTCCCAGGATTCCTTGTTTTATGGCAGCATCATATCATATTACCTGTGTCCCTCTTAGAAAGGCACTTGTGATGACATCAAGCCCACCCAGACAAACCAGGACACTCTCCATACCCCATGCACTAAGACTTTCTCAGACCCCTATCTCCTGTAATTCCCTCTCTCTGTCTCTGTCTCTCTGTCTCTTTCTGTCTCTGTCTCTCCACTAGGCTGTGATAAAAAACTTGGTCTCTTTCATCTTAACACACTTTGGTACAAAGCCTAGGAGAGTAGACATGGCCAATAAATTGTAGAATAACAGAAAAAAATGAATGTGTGAAATAAGCAAACACAGGACCTCAGGGGCTCCCACAAAGACGTGGTTCTGGGTTTCCAAGTTCATGTCCTTCGCTTTCCCAGCACTACATGGCCCCTGCTCCTTCCCTTAGTAGGCAGGAACCTGTTCTTTTGGTTGGGTATTTGGGATGGGTGGGAGAGGAAATCTAGCCAATCACCTGTCCAACCCTACCTCTCTTTGGTTCTTTCTCTATATCTTCTAATGCCTCTCCACTCTGCCTTCCTTCTCTATGTCCAACATGTCCACCCTCTGCCCCTCTCCTATATTGAGAAATGTGAGGGAACCCAGGGTCTAACACCCCATATCAGGGAAATCTTCACCATTTTTTTTTTGCCAGTATGTCACCAAACCCTTACTGGATAGTAGCCTTTCCTAGGGTGGGCCAAGATAGCTCACCTGGACGATTCCAGCCTTTCTGAGCTGAACCTGTACCCCCTGCCACTGCCCAGTGCCCCAGTCCCTGAGCCCAGCTCACCTGTCTCTCCCCAGATGGGCAGATACTCATCTTGCTGAATGTCCAGCATGATCTCCAACCCGTTGCCCGTCCCCCCCTTGACCGTGGTGAGCAGAGGCTTGCCATCCTCTCCTGAGTTAAACATGTAACACTTCCCATATTTTGTAAACACCTGAAGGAGAGAAGAGAGAGAGAAAGAGAGAGAAGCACATGGTGACTTCACAATGAGTTCCAGGGATTGGGGAGATCCCAGAAGTCCCACAGTAGGCCAGAGTCCTCCACAACCCATCACCACCAACCCTTCTTGGGGACCATGGATGCCTCATGCTTGGCTGATGGCTTGACTTTGGCCAAGTGGGATTATGATATCAAAGAATGAGTCTGGATACTCTTTGGGGCTTGTGGCATGGAATCTGGTCTCTTTGGGAGGCCCCATTTACTTCCAAGTATCAAATATCACCTATAAACTCCCCACCCTCCAACCCATACCTCCAACTCTCTCTTGGGCTCCAGACATACTGATTCCTCTTTTGTTTTGTTGGTCATGGGGTTTGAACTCTGGGCCTGGGCGCTGTCCCTCAGCTCTTCAGCTCAAGGCGAGCACTCTACCACTTGAGCCACATTGCCTCTTCTGGCCTTTTCTGTTTATGTGGTGCTCAGGAATCGAACCCAGGGCCTCATGCATATGAGGCAAGCACTCTACACTGAGCCACCTTCCCAGCCTTTGATTCCACTTTTTGAAAAGTACCTTCCTTCCAGGTATCACACAGAGGCCCCGTGCTCAGCAGGTCTCAGAGGAGACAGATCCCCCCCCCCCACCACAGTTTCCATCCCACCAGAGTTCTCTTTCCTGACTACAGTTCTATCTCCAAATTTCTGTCCTGAGGAGAGTTTTATCACCTGTCCAGGGGGATCCAGTCAGACTCTTCCACACCCTTGTATCATCAACCTGCAAGTGTCTCTAATTGCCTTAAGTTTAGACTCTTCTCTTCTTTAATGCTTTAGTTTAGGATCTAAGAATTTCTTGCCAGGGCTGGTTCTCTAACAGGCCTCTCAGTTCCAGATAACATTCCCTAGCCTTCCTCTATACTAATTGTGGCTCACTCTTTCTGAAATGTGTATTGGATTGTGTTAATCCCATTCTGAAAATCCGTGAGTGCTCTCCATTTCCTTTAGGCTAAACTCCAGGCCCTCTATACCCAGTCTTCTGTGATGTGCTTTGCTTGTTCTTCCCACCTTCCAGCCTCCAACTTCTCACCTGAGTCCACAGGCATTGCTAACAGGTAGATTCCATGAGTTTAGGGAATACATTTGCTCACTTGAGCATTTTTTTTTTCTCTAGTGGCCAACATGGTACCTCGCCTGGTGGTGCTCCACGCATATACGTTTAAAGAAGGAATGAATGAGTGAGTGAGTGAGTGGCTGGCTGGTGGAGCCAGACCACACATAGTGTGCAGCAACCCAACATAGCCAGAAGGTTCACATACTTTTAGCGCTCTACTTAGTTCTTTGACTCCTGAACTCCATGTGTATCCCAGCCTCCAGCATGCCTTCCTGAGACGGTAACCCTTCTTCTTGGTTCTCCTTGTTCCTTCACACAGCCCTGAATACTTGTCCCTCCATATCTTCTGAACTTGATCCTGCCTTTTACATAAGAATCCCAGAACTTAGTTCATTGTTGGCACACAACAGGAGCTTGGGTGACTTTTGCCTGATGAAAGCATGATTACAAAGATGTGGGGGTGGGGGTGTGCAGGAACAGCCCAGAGCAAGGAATGCGGAGATCTTTGTCCACGTTTTGACACAAAATAGTGTCTGATTTTGTGTCACTGGGCAGGTGAACCAAACAAGTCTCCATTTCTTGTCCATAAAATGGGAATGCTAGTCTTTTCCTTTGCTATCTCTCAAGGTTATCAGGAGGCTGAAATGAGATAAAGCATGCAAAAGTGCTTTGTGAACTGTAAGAGCTTTCTACAAATGCTGTGGGTTATTATTATGATTATATAAGTGCTTTGCAACCCCAAACGGAAGCCAAATTGCATCTGGTGAAATTGGTTGGAAGAGAGCCAGGCTGACTGTGTTGGATTCCTGCAGCCACTGAGATTTGGGTCCAGTCCACTTCCCTGACTCTGCCTCACTGTATTGTCCATTCCTGCAGTACAGAGGTGATTGAAAATCCCACTGGGCTCCCAAACTCCAGTGCAGGAGCAGGCAAAGAACAGGTGTGTGTATGGGGGACAAATGGATGCTCCATTTCTCATGAAGATCTGGATGACCAAATGACAGGGAGACACCTGGTCTTCTACCAGTCATAGTGCCAGTCATAGTGCTAGACATTTATCTATGCTATCTTATTTAATTCTCACAGCCATGACCATGGCTGGGTATTGCTGCTCTCATTAAGCAAAGGAGGAAATCAAGGCCCAGAAAGGTTAAGTGACTTGCTAAATTCATTACAGCTAACAAGTAGAAAAGCTAGGAGTTGAAGCCGTTTGTCAGTTCGCAACACATATTCTTTCTAGAAGTGCCATCCTGGGAGGAACACAACAATTTTTTCACTGGGTCATTTCCCAATAGCAGCATGTAGTCATTCCTCTCAGCTTTGTTTTCCAGTTAGCCGTCAACATTCACATTCTTGCTCTCCTACTATGTACAAGGATTATGGAGACTGCAAACAAGTACAAGTTCTACTGTTTGTTTCAGGATCTAAAGAAGGACCAGCAAACCCCCAGATTTTCCCCACTATTCAGAACAGCTCAGATTGCCTGGCTAGATGTATTATTTCAGGACAACCAAGCCATATTCTCTAAGCTTCAGAATGGGGGAAAGCAGCAGGGGTTAAGGCAAACACAGTTTTTCAAAGAACAAAGTGTTTTCTTTTTCTTTTTTTTTAAAAATCATCACTATGGTATATAGTGATTGAACTTGGCTAATGAACTTGTCCCCTGGGGGGATGCTCTTGGGGACCACTGTAACAAGCCGATAAGAGCATTTTATAGTTAGCACTTTCATTGTAAGAGGTTGAACACATCAGAAGTGACTTCTATGGTGTTTCAATAGACCTCCCCCGCCTCCCGCCCCCGTTGGTATATGCTCTAAATATCCTCACGGTCTTCAGAACTGCTCATAATATTGATTTGACTATCCACATGAAGAGATTTGTCAGCAAAAGTAAATTTCAACTTAGCCTCAGATGATCGCTATGCTGAATTCCACCCCTCACTATCTTCCTCTTCCTATTCTTTGGTTCCTTCAACTTCAGCATATTGGGATGGAGTTAGAATGCTGTGTGTGCTGCTGAAGCCAGCTCTGTCACAACAGGTCAAGTGGCACTGGAAAAGGTGGTGACCCCCGTAAAGCATCTGGAGAGAGTGACAAAGTTGGGGAAATGAAAGCATTCTTAGATATCATTGCATGGCATTCTTGACAGGTAAGGATATGAACTTGGGAGACAAGACTTGACTTGCCCGGGGTAATGCAGCAGGACATATCCAGCTGGGACACAGACTCCCAATTCACCCTGCTGTCCTTTATTCCAGCCTCCCTTGGTTCTCCCACTTATAAGAAGAGATGGAGACTCTTCCTATCAATTGACCACTGATTAGGTGACTGCTCAGTGCAGACCCAGGGCTAAAACCTCTTGAGATGCAAGTTCCTTTGTAGAGCTACTTAGCTGATGGGCTCCTACAGTGTGAGTGGATGGAGACTTATTCTCCATCTGGACAGGACTGGACTTCATCTTAGCTTAAGTGGTTGATTCCTGCTTGTACTCTGGTATCAGGCTTATCTTCTTGGCTCTTTCTCTTGGGGACTAGATGCTAAAGCAACTTTTATGAGTGTGATTGTATGACTTGACTCACTCAGAATTGCTCACCTCTGGGAGCCAGAAGGTGCTGACAGCCAAGTCTGAGAGATGACCAAGTGACAATCTACAGCTCCCAAATCCTTCACCAAGACAGGACAGCTGGGAGGAAATCTAAAACCCTTCTGTGGCTATGACGTTGTAATCAAGTTCTAGATCCTTCCTGCAACTTGCGTGGTTTGGTACACCTCCCCTTTGGTACACCTCTCAGATGCCCCCCATGCATCCTGGCCTCTCAGTTCCTGAGAAGTTAACAAGCCTTCTCCCACAGAGTCTCTGCACATACAATTCCTTCTTCCAAGAATGTTCTCCCCACAGGCTTGGTCTGGTCACCCTGATCAGGCCTCAGCTTCTATTGCTCCTTCCCAGAGACCTTGACCATTCCAACCCTGGCTCCCTTTGCTTTCTAATCTCCTGGAGAGAGAGAGAGAGAGAGAGAGAGAGAGAGAGAGAGAGAGAGAGAGAGAGAGAGAGAGAGAGTGTGTCCTGGGGCCTTGAACTCAGAGCATGAGCTTTTTTACTGAAGGCTAGCATTCTATCACTTGAGCCATATTTCTATTTCTGGCTTTTTAGTGATTAATTGGAGATAGGAGTCTCATGAACTTTCCTGGAGCCTGTCTCCTCCTCCCTCGCTTCCTTCTTAAAATACTTTGTATCAGAGGATATAAACTTTCTTCTCTCCTTTCTCTACTGTGGCCTGCCCAGCTTCTCCCCTTAACTGTATCCAAGCATTCTTATTTGCTTCTCCGCAAAGGTGTAGTGCAAACAATCCTTTTAGGAACTAAGACTGTGAGAACAGTTTACCTTTGTGGGTGCTAGAGAAGAGAAAACACAGTTCCTGCTGGCTGCACGCCTTTGCCAGCCTCCCTGCCTGGGCTACAGAGCTCTCTGCTCCTTCCTGGCTTTTCTGAGGATTATTTTCCTCTCTGCTCAACATCAAAGACTGCTGAGATGTTTACACAGAGCACAATTTTGCTATAAACTTGGAACATGCTGCTGCTCTTCTTCCCCATTTTGGGGTATAATGATGGGTAAGTGTAACACAAGACTTCAAAATTACGCCTTATCACCCCTGGCCAGAAAATACAATTTATTTAAGTCCAGACTGGTAGACCAAGCTCTCTGCTTCTTGGGACCTGCCATTCTCCCAGCCATTTCTTTGCCTTCCCTGTATGAGCTGACAGTCCCACTGTGGATGCCAAGCCTACATTTTAAGGTTTCTAAAAGTCTAGGATTACACTTAGTTGGATTGGTTTGTAAGAATTAAGTTTGCATTAAGAAAAGTTGCACTGTGTGTGTATGAGAGAGAG